GCCTGAGGTTAAAGGGCGGTAGAGCCATGCAGCACCACGCGCGCCGTTTTGATGTCAGATACCCGAGCGTGCTTCTGTCTGTATAGCATTACGCCGATGTCTGTTCCGGTGGAGACTTAAAATTTGCGAGTATGACGAGTGCTGCTGGTTCCTACGGGTCACATCAACACAATCCCGTCTGTCCTCGTGGCCTAGCTTGCCACACAACAACCGACTGCTGCCAGGACTTCAGTCATCCCATCAGGATTGGTCACGCAGTTTGGGAAAGTCCTGTGAGATTTGGTTTGGGGTTTATGATGATTAGGAATGAAGTGATGTCAGAGATATATTACAATCGCGTGAGAATTATGGGCTGGATATATACTTAAACGTGATCCAGAGTATATGGGATATTTATCTTAATGCTGCCAACAAAATGAAAAACCTCGTAACTTAAAGATGGGTCTCTGCCTTCCTACTCCTTTGAAGGTATTCCATGAATTTCATGGTAATGCCACTGCTCATCATGGTATGGTGACAGAATTATACACGAACATGCATCGACTGGGTGGAGCGGTGGCACAGTGGTCAGCACACTGTGCTATAAAATGGCGTCCTGAGTTTTATTCCCAGTCACTGCTATTATGTAACTTGCTGACCCATCCCTACTGGACATTTGTGAAAAAAGAGCTTCATAGTTCAGTCTAAATAAATATTCAGACTCAGTGGCGAGGAATATCCAAATTAGAACTGGGCAACCTCAACACCTACACAGTAAAGTATGGTCGAACAACTCCCATCACTGAGACTGCTTGATGAAAGGAGGCCTTCATCAAGCAGTAGATTGATATTGGGCTGTAAATTATTAATAATTATTATGCACATAAGCCATCATTAACGTTACATGAAATAAGCAGATTACAATTAACGCGCGTGTGTCATTTACTTAATTGGTTTAACCCAACTGAGATTTAACATCGTTTTGAATTTGAGAGATCAGAGTTGTGCAGGGACTATCATTGAGCTTGACGCTGCAGTTGTGGGTAATTTAAGAATTTTTGGTGTGTGAGTTATGCCCCACGGTATCTTTAAGATGCCCTCCAGAACCCTCTGGTTCATTATGCCTTTATTAATTCCCTTTATAAACTCCCTGTTCTACTATTAGGCAGGGGGACAAAAAAATTAACGTACTGAACTTTAATGAAGTCATTTAATCTTCACGCAGGAATAAGCCTGCACTTAATAATGTAAAGATACAATAGTACATTTCAGGTTTAATATTAAGCGAATGGCAGTTATAATCGTTAAAAGTTGCAGTGCAAATTATAAGGAATTTGGTGAAGAGTATCGATCCTTAACGGGGTCAACCGATCCAAACTGAATCCGGTTGTTTGCGTTACCCAATGAACAAATGCACAGCGGTGTGCTTCTTGGAGTTTAACGATAGAGATTGCATTAGCTCGGAGATTAAATGCCGTAGCAATCCAGAAAACACGGACCACCAAAAGCATAAATGGGGAAAAAAGCAGAAAAAGACAACAACAAAAAGCGCGAGAAATTTGAGACGACACAGGAGCGATAAACAAGAACGACATTTGCTCACACACACACAGGGGCTAAACAGCCGTCGAAGTTTAGTGCCTTTATGATTGGAAAATGTGAGCCAATTTTTTTTTATCCCTGACTGAGTTTGGTACCATGAGACATGGATAAAAAGACCTGTCTCATTTTCCTTCACATTGCGAGCTTTTAGACATATATAAAGCCTGCTAATGCATCTTAAATAACAAAACATTTCTGGGTAAAATACAGTTTCTGTAAATGCTCAACAAAAGTGCTGCACGTGTTGTGGTGGTAGTTATATAAGCCTGTAGCTACACTATGGATGGATACAGAACCATCTGATAAAAGCCACCACATGAACGGACTCACGCACGCCTACTGAAGTCATAAAGTGAAAAGACGTTTATCTATTGCTCGTCCGTGACATTTTCAGAGGAGGAATATAACTTATTGAATGGCTGAACAAGAAAATGTAGCGATTGGCAAATACAGGCTTTGAAAATAAAAATGGCAAAGAAAACTAAATCTACGAAGGGCTTCCACTAGTGGGAGCTCTGGAGAGCCCCTCGAGAGCAGGAGTCAGCAACCTGCAGCTCCAGAGCCACGTGCGTCTCTCTAAGGGCTGCTTCGTGACGTTTTATTTTATTTATAAAGATCATCGTCTCGTATTGACATGCATTGCGGCTCTTGAAATATCGAGATTTTTTTTTTTTACGAATTCGCAAAAAAACGGCTCTTGTTTTTATTTTGGTTGCCGGCCCCTGCTCTAGAGGGCATTTTGGCCGACACTTTCACACTCCAAAAAGTTGTAAAAGGTGGAAGTACCCACACTCAACCCCACCACACCGTGACCTGCAGATCGACTGACCGCGGTGAGCCCATTTAGACTGCTGGGTGGACAGAAGCGGAGGGATTTAAGAAACGTACCCATTGTGTCAACTGCCGCACCAGGAGATCGAACCGGCGACTTCTGGATTGCAAGTCCAGCGTGCTAATGATTACACCGCGGCAGCACCCCCAATAATATTATCATTAAAAACTATAAGCTGAGAAAAGAAAAGGTTGAGTTGGAGCAGCCTGTACCATCACGGGCCGGTGCCACCTCAAAGGAGACCACAGAGAGACAAGGAGGAGAAGACAAAATTAGAGCTGTCAGTCATTTTCACGAGATTGCCAAGAGCATGTTATTGCAGGCACCGGTGAAAGAAATGAAAATATTTAGAGAGGAGGCAGCTATGAGACAGAGCTTCTGCCACATAAACTTCTCTAGCTCTGGCATAGCCTCGAGTGGCATGCAGATCACCGGGCCCTGTGTACACATGTGGGCCGCCCCTAAGTTCCCTTTTTTCAGCTCGTTTTGCTTGCTTAACCTCCGCTAATAGAATTAGGCACCGAAAGTGACAAATGGGTCGCAATCACAGCAAGCAGCACGCCGCGGGTTCAGGAGGTCACAACGCGGAGTGCTGTCGATAAGCACCGAGCTACTGCGAGCGTCGGGTTCACTAGAATAAAAAATGATTGAATAAATGTATAATAGAGGTTTTTGGGTTAGATCGCGTAAATATATAAATGTGTCGTTAAAATCCGCCACCACCCGACACAGCCAACCAGTAAGGGTTGTCACGTAAACAGAACGTGCCAATTCGTCACTAGTACAGCACACCGGTGTGTTGGAGAGCCAAGCCACAACACGTGGCTTGGCTCTCCAACACACCAGTATATTTACGTGATCTATCCAAAAAACCTCTATTATGGATGATATTGGTCGCGAAAGCCGACGTGTTAAACTGAATAAATGTAATATAAAAAATCAACAAGGCCTAAGATTAGGGTCGGCTGTCGGGAAAAGAGGCTTGCAAAATGAGCTGCTTCACAAACGATGCCAGGGCGCTGGAGATTGAAAGCAGGTGCCACGTAGTTTTTGCTGAGACGCGCGTTCTCCCGTCAGTGCAAAGTCCCTTTCTCATCTGGCCCCATTTTACGCAGCACCGCCACACCGTACCAGGACAGGAAGCAAAAAGCAAATTGGTCGGAACTGAATCACAAACAAACGTCGACTGCTGTGCCCTACAAATCCGAGAGCTTTTTTCTCTTTAAGCTTTTGTTTTGTAAGCGACGTCTCAATCCACACGTCGGGCCTTTATGAGGGCCGGCCGGTGGCTGAGTGACACCCACTTCCCACCCCCTCAATTTCCAGCTGCGCCAGTTGACGTGGTCATTCGGCAGGACGCCCCTCCCTGCCGACGCCGCTCAAGACTGACCTGGCCTGCTGGGTCGCGACCCCCGGCCATTTACGGGGACTTAATTACGAGCCCTCCAATGAGGAGGAATGTTAAGCCGAAGCACGGTCAAGACACAGGCCCCTAAGCCACCGACAAAAGATAAAGGGTAGCGAAAAACAATATGGCTGGGCGTGCGCGGTGGCAGGGCAGGACGCGTTTCGAAGGCTTTGATGAGTGCGCGCGCACCGCGTGTTCCTGCCAGGAGTCGAATCGCGCTTTATAGAGATGCTGTTTGTTTCAACACTGGTAATTTACTGCCCACGATTGGTGTGCACGGAATGCAGTTTGATCTCCCAAAAGGGGGTGACTTGTGGGTCAGACTCACGCACGCACATGGTTCAAAATCCAATTCCACCCATGCTCAGAAGTGTGCAAATCACGCACGCATGAACCTGCATGACCGCACACGTGCTGTGGCTAAAATGCCGAGTGTGCTCTGTGCGCAGCGTGAACCCAGCCCACTGGGAGTTGGCCTCCCCTGGGCTTGCTGACCTGCACTTCTCTCCGCACCCCTTCTCCCCTCCCATGAGGCTCTCCAATACAAGCGTCGTGCTCACATGGACGGGGCTACATGCAGACAGGTGTGGGGCGTGCTCGGTTAGGTCAGCTCAGAGGAGCGTTCCATTAAGATTGTCGAATGGGAGGGCAAGGAGGCGAAAACAGGCACTGGGAAATCCATCCGTGGCAGGCTTGGTGAAGGGGGACCGGTGGTTGTGAGTCACATTGGACGGTAACTTGGCAGCTGGTGTTACGGTCCTAGGAGCCAGCTGTGCATGAGTGATTGGGGAAACCTGGAGTCCCAATGTTGAGTAATGTGCACGCTTTAATATTATATTCCTGAGTCACCAACGGAGAGTTCCCAGCATTGGTGAGGCATTGTGACATAGAAAGCTGGGTAGCTTCAAAGGGTTAATAATTAGCACACATTCTTTCCCAGGATCAGTTAATAAGTCTATCTGTTAATTTTGCACTCCTATAGCAACCATAACAACAACCCTAATGAGGGAAATTCACATATTTTATTCATAAAATGTAATCAAAGTTAAATACTTAAAAATTACACACAAACTAATCTCCATCGGCATCTGTACTTCAGTTATGATCGTAACTTTGACAATAAATACCCTTGAAACAATCACAGTACCGTCGTGTTAATAGTAAACGTGAACCACTCACCAGCCTTTTCCTTGTACAGCCTCACAGCCAGAACCTACAGGGAGCAAACACACAGCGGATGTTGTTAGTTCGATCAAACTTATAAACCGTTTAACTTTTGAGGCATCTCAAAATGTGATACAAAGCAACCATAGAGAGGACTGCAGAGCTTGGGCAATTGTTGCCAACAGCTCACCGCGTGGCTGCTGCCTTCCAGCTCGCCTGTGATTCCTCGGCGATTGTGAGATGCGGTTTGCATGGACGATGACGCTTATATAAAACTGAAAACAATATTATTCAAATTAACCATACGATACACGTAGAAAAATACGGACAACAACAAAATAAGAAAAATCAACAAAAACAAGAAATGAAGCGGTGGCAGCGCACACCACGCCAGGATGATGCCAAGGGTACTCAATGGGAAAGGACAGACTGATGCAGCAACTTCCCGACGTTTTATCAGATTGGTGATTGGTGGGGGCACTAACTAGAAAAGGGATGGGCTGGGAGTGATTTGGATGGGGGTGGGAGGGCACAAAGGTGGGACATTTGTGAGAGAACATTGCAGTACTAGCCTTTTGCCCGCCCAAGGACGGGTGCGTTTCAGTAAATCTGAAACTTGCAAGCGAAAAGCAGACCGCCACGTGATATCCATTGCATCAATTCGTGTGCAATTTGTAATGCTGCGGTGATATAGACCTATTTAATTTAAAGGTGATAATCCCTTGTTCATCATGACGTCCTTTTTACTTCGATGTCTCAACAGCGTTACGGAGATCGCGTGACGTGAGGGTTCTGCCTTTGTAGTGAGGGTTGTGAGTTGAAGCCGAGGAGGCGCATCGGCCCCCCATGTGGAGTCACGTCACCCGCTAATTATTATTAATGGCGGGGGGGGGGGTAATTTGGAGGACGTCACCTCTTCATGATTATTAATAAGGGGGGCTGTTTGATGTGGAGTGACGTCACCTGCTCATGATTATTAATGAGGGGGTGGGGGTCCATGTGGAGTAACGTCACCCGCTCATGATTATTAATGAGGGGGGGGGGGTGCTACATGTGGAGTGACGTCACCCGCTCATGAGTATTAACGAGGGGGGCTAGTTGACGTGGAGTGACGTCACGCGCGGGACACACAGACATTATTGGCTCATTATAGTAGTAAATGAGGGAAGTAGCTACTAAAATCACACGCTCTCATGCCTGAAGAACATGTGCCGTCAGTCTACACTGCGGAGGCTTTCGCGGTTGTGCCGTACAGCTCACCTATGTGTTTTCAGGTTTTACGCGTGTTGTTTTCCGTATGCCGGCCAATGGAATTCACTTCCTGAAGAAACTCCCATTGTGTGGAACAAAACGTTTGGACGGCACGCAGAGCGACACAACCCGAGAACGCACCGGAGAACTACACCGTCAAGTCTCCGTTGCGAACTGTGCAATGAAACACACTTGGCTAAATACATCAGTATTTTTTAAATTAATTAACATCAAAGGATCCCTGCAGCACCCATGTGTTTCAAGTGATCGGAAACCTTATGGGGGGGGGAAAACCCCGTGAGATTGAACGCGCTGATGTTTGTTCGTGGTCTTGTGTGTGCGTGTTTGCGTGCGTGTGGCGACTCACATGCCAGTGTCAACACTTAGCAGGGAGATAAAAAAAAACCTGGAAGAAACCGTGACATCTTGGAGAGATTTTGACGTTGCCAAGCCACCTCTTACATCAGCAATATCATCCTCACCCATCCAACTCTCACCCAGGGCCCCTAAGCAGCCCCCCCCCCCTCCCCCCAAGCAACCCCTCGTGTCCTTTTCCCCGTCTTCCTGTCCCTTTACGACCTCCTCCGCTCCAGCAACAATCCCTGCGTTGGCCTCCCCTTCCTCCCACAACGCCGGCAACTATCTGCCCTCAGCAGCTCACCCGAGACCCAGGCTCGAGAGTGAGACGCACACAGAAAGACAAAGATCCCCCGAACAGCCTGAACAGATTGTCGAGGCAAGTGCTGTTACCTTGCACACAAGGGGGTGGGTGGACAGCATCACGCCTGGCTGTCTTTGACTCCCCAATGGCCATGCTTACATAACCACACTCGGTACTCATTTGAGGCTGAGTCGACCTAGATAAGGCCCAAGCCAAGACCTGTTTAGATAATCGTCACTGGTGTTGGTCGTAAGCGGGAATCGAACTCGGGTGGCCGAGTTGGTAGTGCAGCACGCTAATTGTTACACTACTGCTCCCCACACACTACCACACACAGACAAAGATTCCCCCCTATATAGCCTTAACAAAAAGTTGGGGCAAGTGCTGTTAGCGAGCACCAATAAAGGCCGGCATGGCACACGAACGGGTGACAGGCACCACGGTCGGGCGCCTTTGTCTCCCTAGTGCTGATGTTTTTACACACCGCACCAGCTACTCATTTGAGGCTGAGTCGACCTAGGGGGGGGGCAGGTTCGGTTTAGACATTCGTCACTGTTATTGGTTGTGAGTAGGAATCAAACTCGGGTCGCCCGGTTCATAGCACAGCACACTAACCACGATGCCACCGCTCCCAACAACCACTATGCCACCGCTACCACAAAGACACATATATACACAAGCACTGATCTCCTGTCCAAGATCCCAGAACAATAATAACAATGTAACTTACCTTTGCAGGAAACCGTGACTAAGTGTCAAGCCTTTTTCAAGAAGGTACTGACTTGGTTGGGATGTTTGGCCAAATCCTTTTTGAACTAAGCACGGCATGTGGGTGAAAACCAGAGGAGCTGGGGCTGAATAGAAGCCACGTGTACGAGGGCAAAACACTGGAACGTGTCCCTGTTTGCCCCAAGCTCACACGCTGCATTCCGTGTGCGCGGTTTGTATAAGACCTGTAAGTCGGTTGCAAAGAAACACCTGCTTTATTACCAAACCTTCCCGCTTCATGTGACAAATATCGGTAATAATGTACAGTCCTTGGATGAAGGCCTCCCCATGCCATGTTGGTCACAGAGGTTGATTTACCATAATTCACCACGCTGGTCAGTGTGGACTGAAGGTCTAGATTTGAAGCTTTCGTGACTGCAAGGATTCATATTCTTAGGTTTTTTCGGTAAAGACAAGTAGGAAAAATAATAATAATAATAATAAAATAATAATACATGAAAAATAACTAAATTAAATCACGACGTTTCGGAGGCAACACAAGTCTCCGTCTTCAGGTGGGACCGTCACATTTAGATAAGCTCCTCCCCCCTCCCCTTAACCAGTATTTAAGATCTTGTCTCTTGGATTTCTCTTCACTTGATACAGTAAATTTAGCTGTGACGGTCCCACCTGAAGACGGAGACTTGAGTTGCCTCCGAAACGTCGTGATTTAATTTAGTTATTTTGCATTTATTATTATTATTATTTTATTATTATTATTTTTACCTACGTGACTTTACCGAAAAAACCTAAGAGTATGGACTGAAGGTGGTGGATCTGGGATCGGTTCGGATATCACTCGCCACTGATAAGTCATGGCCGGTAATCAAACTCAGGTTGCTACGTTTAAAGTGCAGTGTGCTATCAACTGCCCGACTGCTACTCCATTTATATATATACTGTGTATATACAAGGCAGTAGGTAAAGATGCAGTCTTGAAATTGCTTTCTCACGCCAATCTTGGCAGAAGGGCCTCCATTAGAGGGACCTTAAGAGAGCCAATGTCCAACTGGACATCTGTGAAAAAGAGCTTCACATCTCATTGGATTCCTCCAGTCTAAATAAAGATATTCATTCTGATTCTGCCAATCTACAGGGTTTTCTGGCCTACTCTTCCATCATGGGCAGACACACATATATATTTGACAACCGAAGGGAAACTTCCACCTAAAGGGTTTTTTGCAAGCAGATTCTGGTCTCTCACTGGCCCCCTGAGCCCCCACCCTCCATCTCCTCTTCCTCACACACCCCCCTCCGTGGCACAGCAAACAGGAAGGGGACCCGGCTGGTTCATCGCCGTGAAGAATGATCCTCCGCTCCACAGCGGTCCCCTCTGCTATAGCCACGCACGAGTCACAGGTCCCCTCGGAGGAGGGATGACCGCAGTCCCAGCCACGCGAGTCTCGTCAAGCCGCCCAAGCGAGGCACGAAGCAGCAAGAAGCAGCAGCTGCTTTCGGCTCACAGCAAGGCGACTCTTGCATTGAATCGTGGAAACAAAACAAAAAAGCACATTTCGGAGGAATTGAACATTAGACGCCAGACGGGTGGATCGAAAATGTGTTCTAAAAACCCGACACTTGCAGGATTAGTTCAGTTGCTATGCTGGGCTTAGAGGCATTCATTGCTGCTTGGCGCGAGTAGAAGAGACGAAATGAAGTTATGCACGGAAAGAGCGATTCACGACGGGGGAGCAGGTATATTTATTTAGTTCGATTTAGATACGCAGACTAAATACATTTACTTTATTACGAGGTGGCGGTGCATTCAGCTAGTTGCTCTTTTCACGGATGACCGAAGAAGGTAAACTAATAATGAATACGACGAGCAATCTCTATTCATAAACATCAACGCAACAGCGAGCGAAACGAACTTTCACAACAACACAACGTCATTAGGGCAGCATGGTTTTGCAGTGGTAACACTTGTGTCACGCCAAGGGTTCGAAGCCTGACCCCGGCGCCTTTCTGTTTGGGGTTTCTGTGTTCTCTCGCTGTTCTGCGTGGATTTCCTCTGGTTCCCCGGTTTGCTGCCAAAGCAAAAAAATACAGCGTAACTGGTAGTGACCAAACATCCCGATGCTGAAAAACAATATCTACAAAGTACTATTTGAGATTACGCACAGCAGCATCGCCCCCTACTGTCAAAACTTGGCAGGACCCATATGAAATTTGAGAGGCTTTCCCTGGGGATACATGCATAATATATAAAAGTAAGCAATTACTTTTATAATATTCATATAATGCTACTGTCAGTTTCTATTTGGCTCACGGTGAAGGCATTTGCTGCCTCCAGTTGAGGTTTTCCACCAGGTCAACTGAACACCGTTTTAAATATAGATTTACATTTCAAATCTAGATTTAAAACTAAT